ATATTTATAGCCATAACGGGTGCGTCTAATCTTGGGTTTAGCTAAACATTTTCAGCGAAAAAGTTTTGGAAGCTCATTAGGGGTTGTTCATAAACAACGTAGACAGTATAGGGAGGGGAGCGACTGCCATACAATTTAAAACAACATTGTACAGATAATTATCTACGCAGGGGAGTGGGGGGGGAGGGGGGATATAATCCCAAACAAATTGCCTACGTCCTTGCGAACATTGAGGAAGCGAACGAATGTTAGTTCGAACACCGTTATTATTTTAGACAGTGTTTACCTCTGCATATTCACGGTTGTAACGGGAGGGATTTTTGTTAGTAGGAAAGATTAATATGATCTGGATTCACCATGGTAATGCCGCGGATAAACTTGTATGACCAACTATGAGCATGAGCACATCCATGGTCACACATGTATAGTTTTTGGATTTGCTAATAATTTATTATACAAATAATGCTCATGTTCATAGTTTGTGGCAACATAAGTGATGTGATCGTTTGCATAGTGACATTAAGATCTCTATAATACGAGCTTGGGATTGAACCCATGAACTTCTGCCAAGTAAGCAAAAACGGTAGCTGTTCCACCGAGCTCTTTATATCACAAAAACAATCGAGTTATTATCATTGAATCCCGGCAGCACCTTCAACGGCAACGACACATCAGCAGTAAAATGAGACCAAACAAGCCATTCCGATTGAATGACCTCTCTGGAAGGATTCAATCAGAATCAGTTCCAATCAATTTCTATTACGTGTTTTCGGGTGGGTGTCTAAGCGGTATTTAAGTACAAAAACTCGCCATAAATTAACCAGTTAGAATGACACTAATCCAAAAGAAAAAGCACGCGAAGCGACTACGGAACTCAAAGCTTCAAAACATCACAAAACACTGAATAGCAACACAGCGGTGCCGGTCGTGTAGTGTAAGCGTGATTGCCAAGGATGCGGCGCATCACTCGCGTAAACTCCGAGGTCCCATCACTGCAAAATATTGATGCAGCTATCCGAAGTATGAAATAAAACAAGGCTACCGGGGTCGACCGCATATCAGCAGAGATGCTGAAAGCTTACCCCATGTTATCGGCACAAATGTTGCATCAACTATTTTGAATTTTCTGGTACACCGCGACTTTTCCGGCCGACTGGATGCAGTGGATCAGCGTAGGTCCCTGAGAAGGGGTATCTCAGACTATATGCGGCAATTGGTGACTATCATGTTACTGTGTATTGTTCTCAAAGTTCTGGGCAAAGTTATTCTGAATCGGATACAGGAGAAGACCGACGCTCTCTGGCGGCTGCAAACAGGATTCCGTGCCCGAAGATCTTGTGTGAACCATGTTGTCTATCATCCTGGAGCAGGTCAACGAATTCCAAGAGTCCCTCTATTTGGTATTCATGGACTATGAAAAAGCTTTCGACCTACTCAATCACGAAAATCAGTGGGGCGCCCTGACGCGCAAAGAAGTCCCGGATAAAATTGCCAACCTTATTGATGAGCAGTACGACCCAAGTAACACATATTCATGAAATTATGTTAAGTAAACTTCGTACCTTCTTCAAAATTGTACTTGCTCGCTTTCTACTCTCTATATACAATTTTCACACTGCCATACTCTAACGGAACTATCAACTCTATACTTTCATCTCCTCATCTATCATATAAAAATGACCACTTAGCATCCTCAACTATGTAAACCGTAACGCAGAAGTAATACAAACAAAATAGTTAAAGTACATAACTCTAGATGGAAACTTACCATCATTTACTGTCATTATTGGTCGAAAGGAACAGTAGCAGCACCTCCTCTACCCGTGTCTTCTCGAGATCCTCAAGTCGACGGTGACAGGAGCACATACCGTGGTAGAGTTAACAATAGCTGCAATTTCCAAACCTACGTCTAGATGCCTCCCTTCAGATAACGTCTTGAGTGTGGTACGATTGAACTGTTTCAACACATCGTAAGTACATGAGCAAATCGGTGATCATCTCTTTTTGCCAGTGTTGGTGTCGTAGATGTAGAGTCCTGCAAAACGGAGCCTTGTTCGAACATATCCGGGTAGTCGCAGATGTGAGGCAATGATGTATACTATCACCGTTATGCCGTGGATACACTTGTATGATAAACTCTGAATATGAGCATTATTTGTATAATAAATTATGAGCAAATCCAAAAACTATACAAGTGTGACCATGGATGGACCATGATTATAGCTTATTATACAAATGAGCATGAGCATTATTTAGTATGTCATACAAGTGTATCCACGGCATTACTATTCCTCATTGTAACCGACGAGATCATGGTAGGTGCAAGGGACTGTATAACGAATTTTGGGCTACTTTGGCAGCCTATCACTATGGAGCACCTCAACGACTTCGATTTGGCTGATGATGCAGCGCTCGGATATGCAGAGTAAGCTCAACAACCTAGGTGATCGTTCCTCTGCAGCAAGTTTCAATATCATTGTAAAGAAGACCAAATCGTTGGATGTCAATACGAACAACCCTTCTAACTTTACAATACCGGGCAAGCAGTGGAGAAAGTCAAGACGGCTATGGCAGAGTTTACGAAATATGTGGAGATCTGACCAGATAAGTCAACGCACCAAAATACAAATATTCGATTCAAACGCGATACGTGGTGTGTATCAGCGGAGAGCATTCAAAAACTGCTGGTCTTCATCAACTGGTATCAGCGGTATATATTTCATGCCTGGTGGCCTCAAAACTGGATCTGGAATTCTGAGCTCCATTGTCGATGTCATCAGAAGTCGATATCAACAGAATTCGAGAACGTAAGTGGTGGTGGGTCGGCCACACACTACGAAGTGTCGGAATCGAAATCTGCAAGCATGTGCAGGATTGGATTCCAGCAGGACGTCGCAGCTGAGGCAAACCCAGGGAGTCATTGTGGTGGAGCCTCAACAAGGAATTAAAAGAAGTCAACAGGAATCTGACTTGGACCCAGGAAAAGATAAAAGTGAGCAGCCACCCAGGATGGAAACTTTTCACTTTGTCCCTATGCACCACTAGCAGTGTGCACGATACATGAGTGTGAGTGGGGAAAAAAGGGGGGAGTTTTATTAAATTTTTGTCACTAATAGTCAGGGTCATTAATAATCTGAGGTAAACTGGTTACTTGATTGTTGTTCACAAAATTATGAGCAATAGTTAAAGGGTGATACGGTCAAAATTTGGTCAAGGGAAAACGCGTGTAAATCGGTGAAATCGTTTATTTAAAAAATCAAATTAAATTTCTTTTTCAAGTTCAATTAGTATAAAATTCAGGAAAAATATTCAGTTAGGCTTCCGCTTTTCCAAATCCGAATTGCCGGGCCTTACGCTTGACCCCTGCCATCAGATTTTGTACAGCCACCTTGTCCACCTTCTTCGCCGCAGAAAGCCAGTTTGCCTTGAACTGCTGCTCGCCCTTAGCAGTTTTTTTGGTCTTCTTTAGGTTCCGCTTGACAATAGCCCAGTATTTCTCAATTGGGCGGAGCTCTGGCGTGTTGGGAGGGTTCTTGTCCTTGGGAACCACCTGCACGTTGTTGGCGGCGTACCACTCCATGGCCTTTTTACCGTAATGGCAAGATGCCAAATCCGGCCAAAACAGTACGGAACAACCGTGTTTCTTCAGGAAAGGCAGCAGACGTTTATTCAAACACTCTTTCACGTAAATTTCTTGGTTGACAGTCCCGGAAGCTATGAAAATGCTGCTTTTCAAGCCACAGGTACAGATGGCTTGCCAAACCAGATATTTCTTTGCGAACTTTGACAGTTTCATGTGCTTGAAAACATCTGCTACCTTTCCCCTTCCTTTTGCCGTATAAAACTCCTGTCCCGGAAGCTGCTTGTAGTCGGCTTTGACGTAGGTTTCGTCGTCCATTACCACGCAGTCAAACTTCGTCAGCATCGTCGTGTACAGCCTCCGGGATCGCGCTTTGGCCGTCGTATTTTGTTTATCATCGCGATTTGGAGTCACTACCTTCTTGTAAGTCGATAGTCCGGCTCGTTTTTCGGCTCGATGCACGGTTGTAGACGATACACCCAGCTTATTTGCGGCATCTCGGAGAGAGAGGTTAGGGTTTCGCTTGAAACTACCGGCAACTCTCTTTGTCGTCTCAGCGGCTTCCGGTTTTCGATTTCCCCCCGATCCAGACTTCCTGGCTGTCGACAAACGTTCCCCAAACACTTTAATTACATTTGTAACGGTTGATTTGGCAACTTTTAGCGATTTTGCCAACTTTGCGTGCGAGTAGCTCGGATTTTCGCGATGCGCGAGCAAAATTTTGATACGCTGCTCTTCTTGCTTGGACGGCATTTTGACAACTGAAGAGTGAATTCCAAAATCAAAATAGGAGCAACATTCTACACACACACACCTTCAAAATGAGGGGTGTTCAGGTTTTTTAAATGCAAAATTGAAAGAAATACGTCAAGTTGATATTGACCAAATTTTGACCGTATCACCCTTTATTAATTGATGGGTTAAAAATTGAGCCCATTAGTGGATATGCGTACTTGTATTAAATAAGGGTTGATTTTCAACCCATAAGTGGTTTATTCGTTTTTAGCGTGTATTAAATATCCAACTTCAAAGCATTTTTTCTGCTTGTTGTATGAAAAGTCCCATTTTCTTAAAATATTAGCTCTTATCCACATTAGATGGGTTGAAATTTTTACCTGTGAGTAATTTTTACCCACAACTTTGGGATATTTTAACCCAAAATTAAGTAAATTGTGCTCGAAAGCAGGCAATCGTGGTTTTACTTCAACAGGGAATAGTTTTGCTTCTCAATTAGAAAGAGTATAATGATGACAAACATATCCAAGGTAAATAATTACACATTAAAGTGCATGAGCTTTATCCTCAAGCAAACACTACTTACTGGAAAATGTAGTACTGGTCATCTCCATGGCATGCTCCTTTAATTTCACCTAGCCTAAAAATACCTTTGAATAAGCTAAACCGGCCATGGTACGTAAACCGATAATGGAAGTGTTGCACTCTGGGCTGAAATTTAGCCAGCAATTCTGCATTAATCAACGTGGTCGTAATAAATGCGTTATCGGACATTAGGTCACACATTCTTTGCTTAGTGTGTTTGTTGAGTTAGCGGGATCCAAAATAAAAGTGTCTGATTTGCTTTCCAACCTCGGCCAAATCCAATGCTGGGTCATCTCGTAGAAAACATGGCACAAGCCGCTCTGGCTCTCTTCTGAAAGCTTTAGTTTGGTTTTTTCGACGTATTAATAGAATTGGCAAAATACCCTCACTGTCGGTACAGCCAGTGATCAGCGGCGTTTGAATTGTATCGAATTGCTTCAGTAGCTCTTCTGGGGTGGTAGTGATTATGCTATCTTCCGTCTCGATTTGTTCAATGACCGGTCGGAACAAAAAATTCATGGATAATTTTTTCTCATCTTCATTAGCAACGTCGTGTTGATGTTTTACTAGCAAGTGAGCTGGTGCCTTCATAAGTGTATCTGCAAAGGAATAAATTGTGTTCTGTTACATCGTTTTTAGTGGTTTATGGGAGTAAGGCTTATGGTGGAAAGTGTCGAACGGTTTTCAGTAGTTGTTATTTAAAGAGACTGATAGAGAATATAAATTTGTGGATTATTTACATGAACTTCGTCTTCTTTGGCTATATTTCGTCTCTACTGGGACTTTATGCCAGCTCTCAACTTATTGTTCTTTGAGCACTTCCACAGTTGTTAATTGAAAGGTTTTTAAGCCAGTGCCATTTTTGCATTCGTAGGGTTAAGATATAATTTCTGTCATACTAAGCACAACCCGCACTTTACCCTTCTATTTCGATCGGGTTTGAACAAATAATGGAATTTTGGAATCTATGAAAGAAGACCTTTAAATTTATTTACCTCTCTATATGTACCGTTAGATTTAATAAAGAATTACAAGTTGTTGAGATATTGATAAAAATCTAACACCGCTTCAATTCTGTAATACGAGTTTCAATTCCGTCACAACACATTGAAAATGGATTCACTAGGAGCGTTTCTTTTATATTCGAGAAGAATGGATGTAAATATTATCTTATGCCATTTATGGACTTTTTTTTGGTAGCTTCTGAACTAAATTATCGTACCGAATGTATGATTGAATAGTTCACGTCGGAATCATTGAAATATTTGATGTTCAATATGACAGAAATGGGCCCTTATGCCGAAGTAGATGATGATGATGATGATGTGGAAATTACAATCATACTCTATGTTCAAGGCAGTCGAGAATTTATCCACTACCCAAGAGCCTAGCCAGGTTTGGACCGAGGAGAAGGCGATTTTTTTTAACTATGGAGGATTTGGCCGAATGCCAATAGGTCGCACGCCATTTTTCCGAACGCTTTAATGTTATTGAGTTAAGGAGGGACAATCACCGCTCCCCTGCCCCCAGTGGCTACGCTTACGCAGTCGCTTTGCTTTACAGCGGCGCCTTTACCTACTGAGCTAATGGAGGCCCCATTCACATCAAAATCTGTTTGAACACTATTTTTATCGTGTTCAAGATGTTTTCAGAGTTTTCACAAACTGACTTCATGAAAAAATCAGGGCAATCACTGGAGCAGCGTTGACAACGATCAAAATCGCTTAAATATCAACACCCATCTCTCAACCTCAATCAATCCCAACATTACCGAGTGCTGTCCACATTTCCTCATATCTGGGCGCTATCCGTTCATTAATAGCTGACAACGGAGTTTGTGTTTTAGTCGGAAAGACAACATCTAACCAAAAACAATATCATCTGACCTCGCCTCTTTCTGGATCTGCTCGATATGTCAAGTATGTTTTGCCTGATTGTGTCCATCCATCTTCCAGCATAGAATATTGCAGGATCGCCTTGACAAAATCCACCCGCAAAGGCACACTGAGTGCAAAATAAGCGTGTATAGTGACAACTATAGTCACTATATTCATAGTCTGGTGTAGACAAGGATGGGAGCCAATTTGACTTGTCACTTGCAGCTTGCGGGATCTAATCGAGGAGGACTGTTTCTTTTCAGATCAATGTTATGGAAGTACTGCAATCGTGACGATAACTAAATGGAACAAAAATTTAATCATTTTAAGTGGTAATTTATCAATGAAGAACATCGACATGGTTAATGCGTAGACAACAAACCAAAGGAAAAAAAAAGAAAAAAAAAACAAACAATACATAAAGTTTTTGAGAATTTTTTTTTATAACGGATGGAATGATAATTTAGCAAATACATTGCAGGTGTGCGTTGCAAAGTGCAAGCTGGTCGATATTCTTTTTAAACATTTCCTCCTGTTCCGTTTAAAATTGTCCATTGTCAACTCAGATAAAAATCTTTGTGTTGTGCAATACGAAAATGTTCTGCAAAAGCTCCAGCATTTTTATGCGGTGCCAAATTTTTATTAAAGAAATCAAAGTTGTCAGTTTGAGTGAATCTGTTTCCGGCAGATTTTACAAATAATGACTACAGTGACCACCTCTTGATCAAGATCAAGGAATCAAAAATATCTCAAAATGATAATATGACAAGCGATCAACGAGCCGAATGATAACGCTATGTCAGAAATGGAAAGCAATAATGATATGATCTTCTTCCTTTTTTTTCATGACAAACAACATTTCCAATCTAGCTCGCTCAGGCCGGTAGAAGGAAATGACCACATTGTTAGCAAGCTGCTTCACTAAGCAAAGTCGAAGATGATATACGTGTGTTAACTGAATTTGGTTGTTGTTGTGTCTTTTCTCGATTCCGATCAAGCTATGTTCTCAACCATGTGTATTACAACAAAGTAGGCAAGCAATATATCATCATCCTTCTACCACTCTGATCGCGCTGTGTTGCAGATAGTGTTTGTCGTGGTAGTCGTAACAAGCGTTTTGCCTGTTTCATTGGTCGCTTTATGTGTTTGGATTCACGGATCAAGATACATTTTTTTAATATAATGTTGTCAGCTTGCAATTTATTTTTTCTACTGAAAAGTTAATATGCGATTTATGTAACGCCCGTTAAATGAATGAACGATTATTACTATGGCATCAAATATAAAATATGATTGCAGACACTTTTTTCCCTGCTTTGAACTTTTTGTCGGTTAATCTTTTTAATGTAAAAAATTCTGAGATGGTGCTATCAATTCAAAACTTTAGTGTCATCCACTTAAAAAATGACATCTAAAGTTTTCAGTCGCAAAATTAAATTTAATTGGACGTGACTGTAAGAATCTTATCTTGGTACTATATTACAATATTTGAAACAATAGATGAGGATAATAAATCTATTTATTTAAAGGAAGTAGGAAAAAAATATTTTGTCTCATAATATCAAAATGCTCTCAAGAACTACGAATTTTATTTGTAGCTGTTAAGTGCTTCTTACATAAAAAAGGATGGGAGGTACGATGGTGCCATAAAATTTATAATTAAAATAGGAGAAATGGCTCTATGGATCTAAGATTGGGTCCATCGCTAAAAATCTGCTATGTATCAATTTTATCTAGATGAACGCGTCATTGAGACGGTACTAATGGATATTTTTGGTCGCTATTGAAAATTTAGTCGTTTTCTGAATTTATTAATGGGCCCAAAATAGGGGCATTTAGGCCGACATTACATACATTTACCCTAAATTCATTTTCAGAAAATTTCGTTAAAAATGTCCAAGCGTATTTGTTTTTCAATACAGTTCAGTAATAATCATTTTTGCTTTATATTTCTTGTAATATGGAAAAAATAGCTAAAATATATGTGAAAACATTCACATTTTTTTCAAAGATTAGTCTTGATTTGAAAAGTTCTCTTGACTTGTGGAAAATACATGGAGGTTGGAAACTTTTCTTTAAAATTTGAGCGGCAGATAACACGACCGTGCATGTCTCATAGCAGTCGTTTGAGAAACCGGGTGAGTTTCCAGTCTTCTTGATGTGTTATCTTAGATTTAATACAAAGCTATTCAACAGTGCGTAGTCAAAACAATAGAGCCATCTTAAATTATATTACCATTAAGAACATTGCATTTCTGTTGTTTGTTAACCAATCCTTGTGAAATTTTTAGGACTTATGAAATAATCAATATATCATCGTTTTGCATCGTGATAATTACACGCGATTTTAATATAAACCTCCTGATGTATTGGTGAATATGTAATATTGGATGACCCTTTCAGTGAAACTTTTTTGTCTTTATGATGTAGACATGTTTCAGTGATGGCATAATCATTAGCAAATGGATATTTTTCTGATTTCATACGCTCTCAATATAACGCGCGAGCGAAATATCATGCTTTATATTGATTTTACTGATTCAGTTGCACCTCATTTTCTCAGAAGGAGTAGGCATAATAATGCTATCTCTTTTTTCTATTCACCGATGGCAGTCGCAAACACTACTGCTGCCAGTCGTTATGGAAGTTTCGGTTGCGTTCGGGTGTAAATCAAAAATCATTAAACTCAATCTCACCACAGCTTGGTGAGATTTGTAGCTCGTGAGTTTTGTTAGTTAGCTATTCCGTGCTAGGATATCACAGCTTGCAATATCAACCGCAGATAATTGCTTGTTGATTGTTGTCTTCGAAAATTAAGCGTGAACTTGTTATTTGCGCTATCTTTGCGAATTTCAGAGATGAAGCCGCCTGTGGCTGTAAATCTCCTAAATAAAGGAAATCAATCAATGTCTTTACGACCAAAACATGAACTATTTTATCCACCAAAATGTAGTCCTAATTAATCCAAGAAACCTCACTCGAGACTCATAATTTCTTTGATTGGTATATAAAAGAGATACAACGATTGTAGTGACGCTTCAATGTAAGATGGGTCTATTGTTTGCAAAAACGGCTAAAATTGTAAGCCATCTTTTGAGTAGTATTGATGGCAATTTTTGGATACAATTTTTAGTACTATCGGCCATAAAACTGCTTCTTTTAAAAAAATCTGTTTTCTCGATACAAATTAACACCGCATATTGTCTTTAGTTTCTCAAACTACGCTCCTATCATTTTTTTAGAATAACACCACTCGTACCGTAATGCACCGAATACCGGACAGTCCGTTAATCCGGACATTTTATTTTCAATTAATTAGTACGTCTACTTTGCAACATAATGAAGTATCTGATAATTCTGAACGATGATAAATTTTACGTGCTGCTTTGACACGCCTGGTCACATTATAGTTCAAGAACGGAAATGTAAACCAATCGCTATTCAAAGTAATATGATTAACATTCGCAATGTAGATTTGTAATGCATTTTTTTATGAGAAGATCGTGTTCCCTTCATGTGTCTTTTTACCCTTTAAAAAGTTTACCGATAGCCAGTTGGAGTCGATCAGTTACAAAACAGAACTAATCATCTCAGTCCACTAGCCCAAGGTGAACCAGCCCCTGGCTTAAAACATTGTAAATAAAGCAAAAAAAAATCTCAGTCCACAAGTACAAACCGTAAACAGTAGCTCAGCTACCCGTTGAACACTTAGAAAATTTAATGATGCTTTATTTACACACCGTAAACACCTTGATCACAATTTCCCTTGTAGCCAAGAATCTTTGCCAGCTTGCGAGCTTTTTGCTCCGGATCTGTTTGAAAAAATGATTTCGTACACACAATTCCACTCTGACAAATCGCACGGTTGAAATATTTTCTGAAACAAACAATGGTCAGTGACTATTATTCTGGCTTAGTTTCGATGCATCATACCTGGAATTCACCGACAGATAATGCAAATACGTTGACCAGCTACCAGCACTATTACCGTAAATAGTGACATTTCCGGGATCACCACCAAACAGATTGATATTTTCTTTCACCCACTTGAATGCCATCGCCTTAAAATATGATTTGTTTTATAGCTGTTGGTTTTTCATGGCACATGTTTGACAGATTTCTCACCTGATCTTTCAATCCAGCATTTCCAGCAACTCCCATGCTCGGTAAACTTAGAAATCCAAACGGTCCAAGACGATAATTCATTACCACTACAATTACTCCTTCCTGCACTAGATGGACGGGATCGTGCATAAAGGTCAGCGCTGATCCATAAATGTAGCCTCCTCCATGGATGAAAATCATTACCGGCAGTTGTGGATTGCTGTTGAACTTATCCGGTAATTTCGGGGTGAACACGTTCAGATACAGAGCTTTTTCTGAACCTCTGATTATAAACGGAATGTACATGTTGGCTTGTATGAACTCTTCTCTATCTACAGCACAATCAACAACGGAGGTATAAAATTTATCGATTGCTACAGGTGGTTTGAATCTAAGGTCTCCTACAGGCGGTTTAGCGTAGGGAATTCCTTTGAAATAATGATACGGTCTTCCGTTTGGTAAGGTCGTCGTTATTCCACGCAACTGACCTTGACGCACTTGCACAATTGGTCTGAGAGAAGTGGGCCATACTTTTATGATCCGATTCTTTAAGAAATACTTCACAGTTCCAATCACCAATCGATAAATTGCTATGATAAATTCATTCATAGCGGTTGACAATTTTATTCACAGACCACAGAAAACATTTCAACTGGATGGCGAGGTGCCAACTTTTTAACTGAATTGATTTCAGTCACCGAGAGATACGAATCGACGCATTCAGAGGTCAATGACAAACTGATTTCAAATGCCGCTATGTGAAGATAGCGTTGAAAGTTTTGTAGAAACTAAAAACAAGTTGTTCGCATCCATGGGTGAACGGCTGTGCGCTGTGTATCATGCTTTAGCATGAGATGGTGGATCTAAGATTGGGCCCATATCTAAAAATCTGCTATTTATCAATTTTATCTAGATGAACGCGTCATTAGGACGGTACTTATGGATATTTTTGGTCGCTATTGAAAATTTATTCGATTGCTGAATTTATGTATGAGCCCAAATTAGGGGCATTCAGGCTGACATTACATCCATTTCCCCTATGTAAAACAATTGACGGACAAGATGGAATTGAATCAATTTGTCTTCTTTATAATCACTCACGACGAAAACGATGAAGATGCGTGTAACCCTTTTTAAAATCAAACAATTGCTGTGCACTGAACTGTGAATCACTTCAGTATATAATCTTATAAACAACTAGAAACTATATACATGCATGGGCTTGAAGGACAAAGTCAACAGGAAAGGATGAATCGAAACCTTGAGAGCTTTTAATGTATACTTGCTCAATGATAAAGATCGCATTAAGGAGACACACCTGTTGATGGGTTTCAAAAAATCGTTTTTTTTTTTGTACTTTCAGCATTCTTTACCTTCTAGAATGTTGTGTCAAGATGCTAATTCAATGCACAAAGTCGTTATGACTGGTTTAGTCTTGTGTTAAATGCACTTTAAAATAACTCAAATCTTTGAACGCGTTTTCCTCAAGTCCACATTTCTTACCTTGAGAGACAGGAATCTCGAAGACTATTCGATCAATTTAGCTGATTCTTCTGTCCGCGATGTAAAAATGAATGATCTAAAATCTAACTTACCTTTTCGCGTTATGAGACGATGCAAGGTCAGGCCAAATCAGTACATATTATATGCACAGTTTTTTTGAGCAGTTCCAGGCCAAATAGCGGAAAAATAAAAAAATAAATAAATTTCACCTTTCAGAATTCCATGAAGCTTCGCATAGTAGTTCACTAGGGGCAATGAACCAAATTTGTGTTGAAATGGTAATCCAGTGTCCTACAACTTTGTTTAAGATATCATTTTGATTAGATGATGGTCTAAAAAACACCTTTTTGAAAAATTAGGTGTGGTTGTGTGGTCACAAGCTTGGTTCATTGCCCCTAGTGAACAATTATGAGATTTTTCATGATATTTTGAGAAGGAAAAAATCGTCAGTAAAACTGTTCTTCTGCATAATCCGAAACACTTGCGGCAAACATATGAAATACTTCAAATCTCCTCATACATACAGAACCCTCATAAAACCAAAATTGTTACTTGGGTAAAAAAGTGTGCGTTTGACTAGTACTCGCTCATTTTCAACTTCTATTCAATTTCCATACTAACGTACTCTAGCAGAACTATCCACCTACCCTCTTCAGACCTTTCTCTAGCTAATAATTTATCTCTCTAAAGCTTCATGTTGGATAGCATTTCCAACCACCTCTGAAATACATTTTAAGCTTCTCCTTAGAGTGCAAATTGTATGGCAAACATGTAGAGGTTCCTCACTATGGTGACTATAACAAAACAAAAAACAAAAGCCAAAATAAGTATACTACGGTTTTAATTGATAGGTGGTATTCTTGAAAAGGTCCCTGCTACATACTACTTGAAAATATACCACATACTACTTGAAAAACTAGATGGCTAATGAGCAATATGAATGAGAAATTGTCTAATGTGCATGATGAGTTTAAAACCGAACGCAGCAACCAATGTACGGATTTTTTTAGCATTCAGGTTTCAAAACTCGTTGTTTGTTAAACTTTTATAATTAAAAACTTTAAAAAAAAAGTTAAAGATTCAGATATTTTTCGGTATTTAGAGCTTATCACAAGAGTCTTTATTAAAATGTATATGAAATGGTTGATTATATTTATTCAAACCAGCCTCATTGATGTTTAGTTAATGGAATGGGGAAAGGAAATGGAAATGGTAAATATTTCAAAATAAACAAACATACATCAATGTTATGATTCTTCATCAGATTTGTCATCGTTGGTTGTAAATTTATACCAATTCATTTTTTGGGAGGCAAAACCGGTATTTTTTTAATTATTCCTTGCTAACGTGTAAGTTCCACTCGTTTTGGTATCAATGTTGCACAAACTTTCTGCGAACTGAACAAGGAATCTTTCAGATGGTATTTGTAATTAAAACATTTCCGATGCACATCGGCACGTATGCGTCTACGTTTAACCATACATTGACGGCAATCGAATTTGCACGAAGGCAGCTTCCACACCTGCGTAGGAATATCGCTTTCATTCAACACACATGGGCCGGGACAAACGGCTTTACTTCCCTTCCGAAGAACGACGTGACCATACATTTTTATGCCTCAGAAAAATCCCACCGACCTCAGCTGGGATTGATCCCAGACACATTGGAGTGAGAAAGCAGTCACGCTTACCACTCACCACCGGCGCCGGCTAATGGTTGGTGGTTCCATATTGTTGTAGATAATTTAAAGACATAACAGTAGGGATTCACACCGCGATAAACGACAACATATGCACTTTAACCAAAACAGATGACCGTTTGACAAATTTCCCCGGCTTTGTAAACGAAAAAAAGGCTACTGTGATTAAAAATAAGCATTCAAGGTAATTGGCGAGGGGCACGCAATACAAAGAACCGGTGCGTTGAAGTTAAAATGCAATCAATACCCCGTTCACATTACAGCGTATATCACGTGATATACGCTGTCTTGCAATGAGCACTCATACATCTAGTTTTCACTGGAAATCCTATGTATGAGTGCTCATTGCAAGACAGCCTATATTACGTGATATAGACTGTAATAAGAACGAAGTATAATACCCCGTGTTAAAGTAATTATTGCATTTTGAAGTAGAACTGACGGTAATTAAAATTACATATCCGTAATTATTGTAATTATGTACTTTAATAACGAAATTTCAACTGTAATCAATAGAGTTAAATAGTAGTTAATGTTCTACATTGTGTAATTAATGTAAATAAAGCAGTAGTTAATGGAATTAATTTAATTACAGCCGTTGTCTGCGTTGGAGTTAAAGGTTATTGCGTGCCCCTAGGAAGTTGGCTTGGTTTCGTACATTTTATTCAACGGCATGTTTCCGGCATAGAGAAATATAGTTATGAACATTTCAAAATTTAATGTTATCTAGTAAGCATTATTTAGCAACAAAAATGTTTAAATTGAATTTTTCTCGATTTCGTGTTTCAGGCACATAAGCCAATTTCCCATTTATGAACAGTTTACATTTTCTCTTTAACTAACGCATCAATCACCTATATCCGCTACTTTAAGAAATAGAAGTAAGTTGTAATTATATTTTTGACGTAGGACTACGTCTTTCTTTACTATGCTGAGGGTAACATAACGAAATCAAAAATTTGGCATGTAACGAAAACGCGTGGTATTTTCAAGAGAATATTTTTCAAAACCAATGCGAAATATGTAATGCAATATGTGATTGGACGGATACATTATAGTGAAAATAGTTAAACAAATTTATCCAACAACATAGGAATATTCCTTGAAGCAATCAGAAGAGCGGCAAGAATCTATATTCTCTCGCACGGTCATCAATTTTCAGTCCATGCAAAAGTCAAACTAGCACTCCGCAGGTAAAAAAAACGGTTTCCACTTCGGCGAGCTGTTTGGAACTCAGAGAAACGCTAGAATGAGGGGAGGTGGTGAGCAGCGTCCATAAAAGCGACTGCCAAATCACTCCCACTGTCGTCTCAAACCAATCCCACCTTGGTCATTCTTTAAAGCAGGCCTGATAGGACTAGGAACTTTAAATAATAATTAAATATTTCAAATGAACTAAACTTGAAAAGACGGATCTGTGTCACTTGATAATGCATACATGGAAAACCACACACATAAAAGAAATAAAGATCAATTAAAGAAGCTCCCACCGTCATTTACAGCCAGACAGTCGAGCTGGTTGGAGCTAGGAGTCAACGCCAATACAGGGTAGGGAGCAATGAAGAAGTCTTAAGTGGACCCTACACGATTGCTTTTATTGACAATAATCGTATTGTCAATACATTCTATATTGACGTCAATACATCGAGATTGACAATATTTCTGAATTCACATCATCAATATTATTGTCAATAATTCCCCTTCGCGTCAATATATTGATAAGTGGACCCTGCACGATTGCTTTTTTTTGACAATAATCGAATAGTCAATACATTCAATATTGACGTCAATACATCGGTATTGACAATATTTCTGCACTCACATCATCAATATTATTGTCAATAATTCCCCTTCGCGTCAATATATTGATACTTGTGGGGTTCGCTTTAGGCTCGGCAGAGTTAATGCTGGTGGCCGAGCTGATCAGCAAACGGAATATCAGTTAGTGAATCCAATCTTTTGTCCGCTCAGTCACCAGCACGACGGTTCATTGAAGCTCAGAGGAACACCAGAATGAGATGAGGCGAAGAGCAGCGTATATATAAAAAAAAACTGTCAAATCGCTCCCACCATCATTTGCAGCCAGGCAGGCGAGGTGATCGGAACTAGGAGCCAACGCCAGAACAGGGTAGCAATCCTTCAACCATAAGTCTTAAGCACCTGGCAGAGTTAAAGCTGGTGCCGAGCTAAAGGAAAAGGAATTACAAGCAAATAATACAAACATATGTCCACTCGGTCAGCTCCAGTGCAAGTTGGGCTCAGTGACAATAATTACTACAGAGTAGACTGGCCCAGAGATTTTTTTAATCACTTTTTTTCAACGGGCCAACTCCCAGATTTATGCCATTTGGTGATAAATCCGCTCTCTGAAATTTTAACCTCATTCGGATGTAACACGAGCTGGTGCTTTTGGTTTAAAGTTTATATGA